AGTTCTTCTGGTCTCAGGCTAGTGGAGTCTGTGATTCATGTTGTCCTTTAGTCCTTTGGGCAAATATTTTCCTTGTGTCTTTGGTTTTCTTTATTCTCCTCTGCTCTAAGAGGGACAGGACCAATTGATGTATCTTAGATGGCCAGTCACTTTTAAGACCCTGGACGCCACTCACCAAAGTGGGATGTAGAATATTTTCTTAATAAACTTTGTTATGCCAATTGACCTAGATGTCCCCTGAAACCATGGTGCTCAGGCCCCAACCCCGGCTACTCTGTCCCTCAAAGTATTTAGATGTGTCCAGGAAACTTCTTAGCTTTTGCTTTGGTCCAGTTGTGTTGACTTCCCCTGTATTGTATGTTGTCCTTCCCTTCACCGAAGTGATCCCTGTCTACCATCTAGTTAGTGATTGCCCCTTCCCCTCCCTCCCCACCCTCATAACCATCAAAGAATGCTTTTTTCTGTGTTTAAATCTTTTCTTGAGTTCTTATAATACTGGTCTCATAGAATATTTGTCCCTTTGTGACTGATTTAATTTCACTGAGCATAATGCCCTCCAGATTCATCCATGCTGTGAGATGTTTTACAGATTCATCATTGTTCTTTATCGTTGCATAGTATTCCATTGTGTGTATGTACCATAATTTGTTTAACCATTCGCCTGCTGATGGGCATTTGGGTTGCTTCCATCTTTTTGCTATTGTGAATAGTGCTGCAATGAACATGTGTGTGCATACGTCTATTTGTGTGACAGCTCTTATTCTCTTAGGTATACTCCTAGGAGTGAGATTGCTAGATCGTATGGTACTTCTATTTCTAGCTTTTTAAGAAAGCACCAAATTGTTTTCCAAAGTGGTTGCACCATTTTACATTCCCACCAGCAATGCAAAAGAGTTCCAATCTCTCCACAACTTTTCCAACGTGCTATTTTCTGTTTTTTTCTGTAGTGCCAGCCTTGCTGGGGTGAGATGGTATCTCATTGTAGTTTTGATTTGCATTTCTCTAATGGCTAATGATTGTGAGCATTTCCTCATGTGTCTGTTAGCCACCTGAATGTCTTCTTTGGTGATGTGTCTATTCATACCCTTTGCCCATTTTTTAACTAAATTATTTGTCTTTTTGTTGTTGAGGTGTTGCAGTATCTTGTAGATTTTAGAGATTAGACTCTTATCGGATATGTCATGGCCAAAATTTTTTCCCAGTCTGTAGGTTCTCTTTTTACTCTTTTGGTAAAGTTTTTTGATGAGCACAAGTGTTTGATTTTTAGGAGCTCCCAGTTACCTAGTTTTTCTTCTGGTGTTTGTGTATTGTTAGTTACGGTTTGTATACTATTTATGCCATGTATTAGGGCTCCTAGCATTGTCCCTATTTTTTCTTCCATGATCTTTATTGTTTTAGATTTTATATTTAGGTTTTTGATTCATTTTGAGTTATTTTTTGTGTATGGTGTGAGGTATGGGTCCTGTTTCATTTTTTTAAAGATGGATATCCAGTTATGCCAGCACCATTTGTTAAAGAGACTGTCTTTTCCCCAATTAACAGACTTTGGGCCTTTATCAAATATCAGCTGCTCAAAAGTGGATGAATTTATGTCTGGATTCTCAGTTCTGTTCCATTGATCTATGTATCTGTTGTGTACCAGTACCAGGCTGTTTTGACTACTGTGGTGGTATAATAGGTTCTAAAATCATGTAGAGAGGGGCCTCTCACTTTGTTCTTCTTCAGTACTGCTTTACTTATCCAGGGCCTCTTCCCTTTCCATATGCAGGTGGTGATTTGTTTCTCCATCTCATTAAAAATGCAGATGGTATGGTCTTATACACAGAAAATCCCAAACAATCCACAAGGATACTACTGGAACTAATAGAATATTTCAGCAAAGAATCAGGATACAAGATAAACATACAAAAATCAGCTGGATTCCTCTATACCAACAAAGAGAACTTTGAAAAGGAAATCACCAAATCAATACCATTTACAATAGCCCCCAAGAAGACAAAGTACTTAGGAATAAATCTAACCAGAGACGGAGAAGACCTATACAAAGAAAACTACAAAATACTACTGCAAGAAACCAAAAGAGACCTACATAAGTGAAAAAACATTCCACGTTCATGGACAGAAAGACTCAACATTGAGAAAATGTCAATTCCACCCAAAGCGATCTACAGACACTATGTAATCCCAATACAAATTCCAACGGCATTTTTTATGCTTGAGTTTTTTAAATTAACATCCTTTTCTGCAACCAAAATATATAAATAAATTTATATAATAAAAAAAAAATCCCTGTGATCTTAAGGCTTTACATATTAATTTTTTTGCATTACACAATTTACAGAAATAATATACAGTACAAATTTTGACACTTATTGAATATAAAAATTCAAATGCATATCGTAATGAGATGGCCTGGGAATCTTCCTTTCTTTCCATTTAATTCTTGTACCAGTGGATGAACATTACTAATTCAAGACTGAGACAGGGGTCGGCACCAATTCCATTCTCATTTTTTGTCTTTACAGATTTAAGTACTGAAATGTCCTGTTCACGTAAGTAGATGAAAATAGTGAAAACCAATACCATTTAATTGTTCTATCTCTTTGCAAGTTATATGCCAAAAATTACAAAAATCTATGATCATCCAAATTGTTTTTAATGGTCTACTAGCCTTCACCACTAGTTTTGAAAGCAATGAATTGGAAACAATTAGACTTGTATAAGGATTGTGATCCAGTCACCAGTATTTCCAAGTCTCTCTTCTTAGTGCCCTCAAGGTTTTTACATTCTGGGGCAATACACCCTAGAAAGACTGAAGTTGGTGAGTGGCATGTCTTGTGTAAAATGGGAGGAGCACGATTGTGAAAGGAGCGATGTGTTTTCCAGGAGATTAGTTTTAGAAAATACAGAGTATATGGAAGTTGAGGAAAAGGAAATTTAGCTTAACACTATTCATGCCCAAGTACGCTTTGGAGTTTTTATGTACTCCTATGAGCGTGCACACCTTCAATTTGACAAGTATTGCTCTGAAAACTACTGGAAGGCTAGGATTGCATGTAAGAATCCTTGTGGCCTTAACAAAGACTAAAACTTCCAGAGCTGGGGAATGAGGGGGCTGGGACACAGCAATGACTCAGCAGTTCATTAGTTGGCAGGGTCACCACCTGATGGTTGCACTTTGGACTTTTAAGACGTCAGACTCAGGAGGAGAAAAAATGGAGTGAATCCATCAGACCCTGCAAGACTGTGGGTGTAGTAGAATGGAACAGGTAGCAGGTATCTCCTTGATGGTAATCTTTGCTGGGCTAAGGTGTGTCGAAGGGGAGTGACCATAAATTCTGATTCTAAAAGCTGGAATATGAGTGTCTTTATGGGGACAGATGGTGTGATATGTTGGAAATTTGGTCCATCAGGTACTACTTGTATTAGGGAAACAGTGGAAAGTAACCCCAGAGGGTGGGGAAAGATATGGAGGCAGCACTGGAGGAGACAAGGAGGAAGAGAAAAAGAGAGACAGAGGGAGAGAATGAGCAAGATGGGCGACAGAGAGACAGACTCCCACGGGCTTGCCTACAATGAACAACCCTGCCTCCTGCCCAACCCCTGCCAAGGAAATACATAAATGCAAGACATATCTCAGCCCAAATTGCAAGGGCTATTTCAAATCTCAAATCTGTAATTTAATGGCTATGTGACTTTGGGCAAGCTATTTAAACTTTCTGAGTCTCTTTCATCTGTAAAATGGATCATGAATACCTCCCTCACAGGATTCTGGTACTTTGGTAACATCGATATTATCTCCATCTGGGTGATTGTTATGCTGCAAAAATTCAGAGCTGTTCATTTAAGATTTGGGCACTTTTTCTCAACAACAGTAACCCATCCCATTGCCATGAAGTCGATTCTGACTTACAGTGACCCCATTAAGACAGAGGAGAACTGCCCCATAGGGTCTCCAAGGTTGAAATCTTTACGGAAACAAACTGCCACATCTTTCTCCTGCAGAGTGGCTGCTGGGTTCCAACCAACTTTCTGGTTAGCAGCCAAGTACTTAACCACTGTGCCACCAAGGCTCCTTACAACAACAAAAATTTAAAAATGAAATAAATTATTTAAAAAAAAAACACAACCCTATGGATCAAAACAGTCCAATCCACAACTGATCACGGCAATGGTGCAGGACCTGGCAGTGTTCCCTTGTTGTACATGGGGTTGCCATGAGTTGGAGGCTGACTCAATGGCCGTTAACAAGAGAACATGCCAAGGGGGTCAACTCAAGCCTCAAAACATCCTATGGACAAGCAGAGAGGGTACTTTCATGGTCCCACACCCTGACTAAATGTGTACAGAGGTTCTCAGGACCACAGGATGTAAACTTTCCTTGCCCAAAGCTCACCTGTCTTCTTACCAGAATTAACCAAAAAAGGCACTTCCTCTTCCCCACCACCCTGTCCAATGTCCAGTCCATTCAAGCCCCAACTAGCCTGTAGCCACAAACACCACATCCTCTCTTCTCTCACTACCACTTCTACTTCAACTCTCCCACTCCAGATAAAAAATCAGCAAAAGGAAATTAGAAGGCTAAGAAGACTGTCTATTAAAAGAACTCCCTAGGTTGCAAAATAGTTTAACAACCAGTACATTTGGGGGAAGCAGGTGAACTAGATACAAATGGTTTCACACACAGACTAGGGTCATCAACCAGACCAGATGTTGTGAGGTTTCAATAAAATCACGTTAAGGAAGTCTTCAGCACAGTGCCAGGCATATGTAAATACGCGGCCAGGGCCCACAGTCAAGATAGAGGGACTAGGAACTTTGTGGCGCCTAGAGTCAGGAGACTCAAGGTCTCCCTGTTCTGACCAACCTTTATGTCGCCTCAGTTTGCCTGAGCAATAACGGGTCCATCTTAGGTGAACTCTGGAAACCCAGTCAATCCGACTCTACAGAAGACAATGAAGCGAGAGTTGGAATTTGTGAATTCGGATAGTTGACCCTCGATGGAGCCGCAACGTTGCAGGTAAGACTCTTCCTCCGGCGGAAAAAAACAAGGTCGCGGGGGATAGAGCGGGGCGCTTTGGCGCGTGGTGCAGTGTGGGCCAGCGAGAGGCGCGGGCCTGTCCGGCCCCTAGAACAACCAACGTGGCAGGCGCGTTCGCTTCTCTTCCCCCCCGCCTCCCCCCCGAAGGTCTTCAAACTCGTGCGATGCAGTGCGAGTCTGAGTTGTGGCCAATCGGACCGCCACCACCCAGGGGGAGGGGTGGTACAGCTTTCTAGCTCTAGCTTCCAACTCCCAGGTCCTCCCCCGGAGCGGGGGCGGAAATTGGACCCCAGTTCTTGACTCCAGATTCCCGGCCCCAGTCCCCCCGCATCGGGGAGGAGTTTACTCATTACCGCGGAACTTAAGCCGGCCCCCGGCCTCTTGGATCAGGGCAACTTCCTTGGAGTCCACCTTTTCCGGAACCTGACGCCCTTTGAGCCCTAAGCAGGACGCGGAGTCGAGCAGAGATCGCGCTACCCTGTTTACGTTCTGTGCTCGTGCCGAGGTGAGTTTCTCCTGCTGCTGCCGCATCTTCCTCCCCGAGGAGATGGCCTCAGTCCTTGACTGCAGAGGTATCGGCACCGGAGATAGAGCGACAAGCGCCGGCCCTACAGTTCGTCATACTTAGTTTCAGATTTCGTTTCTCCTCTTATTGACTGTGTGATCATGGGTAAGTTTTCTGCTTCTCTGCGCTTCAGTTTCCTCAGCGGTAAAAAGAGTTGCTTCATCAGAGCTGTAGCGAGAATTAAATAAGATAAAGGTGAGCGTTTTCCCTCCTTTCCTTTCACTGATATAACTCCTGATCATTCATTCTTTAAGACTTAGTTCAAGTATCACCTCCAAGAAGGCGCTCTAGCTTGGTTACTGTTTTCCTGCAGCACTTGTGTAGATTTCACCCATAGCTCTTATCACGTTATATTGATTTACCAGCTTGACAATTCCAGGAGGGCAGGGACCCTATCTGAGTATGTGTCTCTAGGGTCTAGCACAAGGCCTGAACATTCAACATTTGCTGAATGAATGAGTATTCTTGGGCCATTTAGAGACTTCTAACTTTCAAAGCTCCCCAAAGGGGGATTCTCCAGTCACCCACCTGCTTTGTTCAGTTGCTAATTTTCTTGTATATGATTCACTACTTTTCTGCTGCATAGAAGTTCTGTGTCTAGTTTCCCCTTCCTGGAAAAACTTCCCCCTTGACTCTTGGGAAAGTCCAGCTCATTCTTAAAAGCCAGTGTCACAAACGAGGACATTCAGGCAGCCAACAAATAACTGAAAAGATGCACGAGATCATTAGCCATTAGAGAGATGCAAATCAAAACTACAATGAGATACCATCTCAGCCTTGCAAAAATGGCAATAATTAAAAAAAAAAAATGCTGGCGAGATTGTAGGGGTATTGGAACACTTAAACATTGCTGGTGGGATTATAAAATGATACAACCACTATGGAAAATACTATGGCGCTTCCTCAAAAAGCTAGAAATAGAAACACCTATGATCCAGCAATCCCATTTCTAGATAAATAGCTTAGAGATATGAGAGCAGTGACACGAATAGACATATGCACATCTATGTTCATTGCAGCATTATTCACAATACCAAAAAGATGGAAATAACCTAAATGTCCATCAACGGCTGGATGGATAAACAAAATGTGGTATTTTTTATACATACATACAATGGAATACTACGCAGGTATAAAAAATGAGGAGTCCACAAAATATAACAAGGATGAATTTGGAGGACATTATGCTGAGTGAAATAGGTTAACTGCAAAAAGACAAATATCATATGGTCCCATTATTACAAAAAGTCAAGAATAGATACACAGAAAAGGGCGAGGCGGGGGGAATCACATTGTAGATAGTAGACACTTGTTACTTTCATTGATGAGAAAGGCAAGACGCAATACAGGTGGGGTCAACACATCTTGACCACAGTAAATAAAGACACTAAGAAGTACATAAGATAATAGTAAAAACAACCAAAAAACATATGTGGTTTTATAGATAGATATGGATGTATACATGTGTATAGAAAGGGATATGTGAATAAATGCATGTGCAAGTATAGGTGTATCTGGAGGCATATGTATATACACATTTGTATGTACTGTATATATGACAAACCACGTACGGGACACAGTTACAGAGGCTTTCTAGACATACCCAAATAACTCAGGATTGATTTACTGGGTTAAAAGGCTCGGGACCATAGCCTCGGGGAACAGTTTAGTCAATTGGCATAATATAGTTCACAAAGACAATGTTCTACATCCTACTTTCATGAGTAGCATCTGGGGTCTTAAAAGCTTGCGAGCGGCCATCTAAGGTACAGCTATTGGTCTCTGCTTGTATAGAGCAAAAGAAAATGAAGGAAATCAAAGGCTCAAAGAAGAAACTAATCCATGGGACTAATAGCCCACAGGAACCACAGACTCTTCTAACCTGAGACCAGAAGAGCTAGATGTTGCCCAGCTACCACTACTGAACGTTCTGACGAGAGACACAATAGAAGGTCCCGGACAGAATGGAAGAAAAATGTTGAACAAAACTCAAATTCCTAAAAAAGGCCAGACCTACTGGACCAATAGATACAGGAGGAACCCCCGGGAGTATCACCCTAAGATACCCTTTGAATTTGGTCCTGAAGCTACTCCTAGAGGTCATCTTTCAGCTAAATAATAGATTGGCTTATAAAATAAATGGTATCACCCATGAGTAATGTGCTCCCTTAAAAAATCAACTATGTGAGACCAAATGTTCAACATTTACCCAAAAGCAAAGATGAGAAGGCAAGGAGGGGAAGGGAAGCTAGGTCAATGGAAACAGAACAAACAGAATGGAAATAATGAGGATGCTGACACATTGTAAAAATTATAGACAATGGCATGGAACAATATATAAAAATGGTTAAAGGAGAACCTAATTTGCTGTGTAAACTTTCACCTAAAACACAGTAAAAAAAATTTTTTTTAAATCCTTTAAAAAATGTATTTTTTATCTAAGAGTTTTGTTGTGGCAAGTACTAGAGAATCACAATAAAGAATCATTTCAGAGAAAAAAAAAAGGCAGTGTCACTATCCCCTGGTCCTTGCTCTATAGAATTTTCTTTCCTGTAGCACATTGTACATGGGTCTGTTGTGAGGCTTTGTGGTGCAGTGAATTACATAATATGGCTCTTATAGCTATGCATGGTCTTATGACTCCTACAGAATGATTGGGTGGGACTATGCAGATAAAGTGCTTGTGATCCAATAAGGGAATTAGATAGCTTGCTAAAAATGCAGATAAGCTGCATGGAACCCTTGTGGGGTGGGATCATGCAAATAAGATATATGGAATCCTAATGAGGGGATTGGTCAGTTTTGCCATGCTGCTAGGCTTAAAAAGAGAGCCAGTCCCACAGCAGAGAGGGACTTCGTTACCCTGAAGAAAGAAGAGCCAGGAGCGGAGCACAACTTTTGGACCCAGGGTCCCTACGCTGAGAACCTCCTAGACCCAGGAAACAAAGAGAGCTGTTACACCAGAGACAGCCTAGACAGCAAGAAGCGGCAGCAAGTGCGGCAGAGAAACAGCAGCAGCAGCAGAACCAGGACACTGGTACAAGACAGCCCAGTGGACTTCCTGACCCACGGAGCAAGGTGACTACAGTGGGCATGCTGATCCATGGTGGGGAGAGAGTTGAGTGCCTGCGAGCAAGAGGCTTCCTGGTGGAGTAGGGTGCCTCTGGGCACTTACTGGCGGAGCTAAAGAGTTTTGTAACACTTGCCCTAGCAGGACAGAGGCCAGGCCAAGAGGAGCCTGTCCTGAGGGGGCTAAGAGGAGCCTGTCTTCAGGGGGCTGAATGTGAGGGCCCAGGCCCAAACAGGGCCCAGCAGCAGAGGCCTGCCTGCGGCCATGGCTAGAGAAGAAGCTGTCCTGATCAAAGAGCTGTATCCTGAGTTATACCTGTTACTTCCCTAGTAAACGCCATAACTGTATTGTCTGTGAGTTCTGTGTGGCCATCGCAATGGATTATCAAATCCCAGCAGAGAAATAGAGAGTGCTGTGGGAGGGACAGCTAGTGTCAGAATTGGTAAAAAGGTTGGCGCAAGGAGGTATGTCAGACCTCTACTTTATAGGAGTCAGCTTTGTGCTGATGTTGATCTTCATTCTCTCCCCTCCCTGTTGTGAAGTTAAATGAGGAGGGCTGATGCTGCCATTTTTACAAGCTTAGAATGTGTGTTTTTACAGGTTTATGTTTCCCTATCTTATTCCTGCCTTTTTCTATTAGCTCCTTGGATCCTTGGCTCTACCACTTCTTAGCTGTTGATTTGGGGCAAATAACTTCACCTCAGAGCTTCCATTTTCTCATCTGAAAATGGTTTAGTTCCGTAGGAGCTCACTAAGGCCTACCAGCATGGGTGACCAGACCTCTGTGAGAGGGACTCAGAGTCTCTGTAGTTCTGACAACCTCATGGGAACGTTCATTTCATCCTCAAGAGAAGTTGCCTCTTCTTGGGCCTGTTCTGTTACCTAGTCTTGCTTTGTCTCCTTATGCCTTTTGCCTGCTTACACTGGCTTGAGACCTTATTTAGTCAAGGCTAGATACTTCTGGCTCTACACCCCATCTTTGTTTTTAGGTATTGGAGCTCTTTAACACAGACCTTTAGAAGGAAGGGCAGCCAAGCCAGGCTGGTTGTCTGGTTAGTATTTATCCAGGAATTGTTGGCTTTGGTTCTGGGCACCCTGTCTCAGTTGCTTCCGCCCATACGAACATACATACAATCACATATTTGTTCCCCCACCACTTCTGCTCCCCCTTTCCCCATCCATCTCTCACCCATGTTTTGTGGAAGTCTTGACAAATGGGTGGCTGAGCCCCAAGCTGCAGCACTGACTCCCACACTATTCTCTTCCCATCTTTGTTTCAGGAGGCAATGACGACTTCTGTGTCCTCCTGCATACTGGGCAGAAGATGCCCCTGATTGGACTGGGCACCTGGAAGAGTGAGCCTGGCCAGGTGAGGGATGGGGGAATGAGAGGGGAGCTTCTTGAGCCTCTGTCAGGGAAAAGGCAGGATTTGGGAGAAGGACTCTGCATTTTCCCTGACAGGCTCCCCACCTCATACTCCACTTCATGTAGGGATGACCCTGGAGGACAGTGGGAAGAGGAAAGGGAAGAAGGGACCATCAGTGAGTCCTTGGCTCCCCCAGCTGCCTTCACCTTCCCAGCTCACTCAGAGGAGGGACTGAGGGGCCCAGTAGGGCCAAGGGCATAGGAAGGAAACCTTTTTCTAACTGCATCTGTACTGTGTGCCACGGCAGATGTGGGGTCCACGTGTGCATGCACATTTCCATGTGTGAGTGTCCACGGCAGTGACAGCAGCCTTTGTTGTTGCTGGCATTGAGGAGTTGACTTCCCTGTATCACTTCTCATTCATTGTACTCCCTAAGGCCCCTCTCCTGTATCACTTCTCATTCATTGTACTCCCTAAGTCCCCTCTGCCCTATCACCCTGTGCTGTGGTCATGTCTTGTCTCCTACACCTAGATTTTGGGGGGTAGGCCTCTCCCTAGTATTCACACGCAGCTAGGCACACAGCAGGTGTCAGGGTTTGAACAATAAGTAGGTCAACTGTGTAGACCAAGGATCAGCAAGCTTTTTCTAAAAGGACCAGATAGTTAATATTTTAGGCTTTGCTGGACAAAAGGTAAAATGGAGGCTATTATGTAGGCGTTTATATAACTGTTTAATAAGTAACCATTTAAAAATATAAAAACCACCCTTAGTTCATAAGCTTTAGAAAAGAAACGAAAAAGAAAAAAAAAGGTAGCTGCTGTAGTTTATTAACTCCTAGTGTAGACCCTGGAGACCTGCTTTTCTAAGGCTGACATAGTACCTGGGGTGGGGCTTTTTCCACGTGTCTTGGAAATCTGAGTCAGAGTCAAGAGAAGTTTGGGGATTAAGTTTGGGAGGGACTCCAGCATGGAGAACAGCCAGTTCTATCTGGGATTTAGACTGGTATTTATGTTGTGGTTGGGTGATCTCTGCCTTCTTCCCTTTGCTTTCCTTCTACAGCTGCCTAGGACCCTGCAGCCAAGGACCCATTGATCTGGGCAGGCATTCCAAACAGCCTGGGGACAAGTCCAGAAGCTAGGTCAATGCAGAGTGTGGGCCCTTGACTTAGGTTCTGGACACAGAACCAAGGACAAGGACTGGGTTACAGAATAGCAGGAGTAGGGTGAGGAGTTTGAGTAACTGCCCCTAGATGGGGGTCTTGAATGCCAAGCCAGGTACCCATAGCAAGAGTTCTGAGTGCATTGTGGCAAGGGCCTGTCACCTTGGGTCCTGCTTCTGATGCCGTATTTCTAGTCTAGTTTTTAGCAAATTGACTCACCCATCCTCTTGCTTGATGCCTGCTTTCTTCTCTCCCATCTGGGGACTCTGGGCCGAACTTTTTCACCTTCCTTAGTTTTTTCCCTCTCATCTCTTCTGCTGGCCTTGAGCCTCCATAGCACACTGTGGCTGCATGACTCCCCACGGGCCTTTTGCTGTGTAGTCTTGATCTAGGAATGGATCATGTTCCCTAACCAGCTCCTCAGGGCTGGGCACCTGTCTCCATGACCTGTACTTCTATTTATCCATCCATCTTTTGATTCAAGAAATATTTACCAGATCTTCCTTTCTGTTAGATCCTGGGAACACATTGTTAGTTTTTTGCTGGGCTCTGCTGAGATGACTTGAGTAGGAAGGGAGTTTGGAGGTTGGTGGGATGGGGGCAGGACAGAGGGTTTGGGTCCCCTGAGGAGGCTTGCGGTCCTCTAGACTAGAGCCGTCTTCCATCTTCTCGCCTTCACTGCATGGATGGTTGTTGTTGTTAGGTTCCATCAAGTCAGTTCTGACTCAGAGCAACCCGAAATACCAAAGAACGAAACACTGCCCGGTCCTGTGCCATCCTCACAATCCTTATGCTTGAGCCCATTGTTGCAGCTACTGTGTCAATCAATCTTGTTGAGGATTTTCCTCTTTTTTGCTGACCCTCTACTTTACCAAGCAGGATAGCCTTCTCCAGGGACGATCCCTCCTGATAACATGTCCAAAGTATGTAAAACAAAGTCTCACCATCCTTGCATCTAAGGAGCATTCCAGCTGTACTTCTTCCAAAACAGATTTGTTCATTCTTTTGGCAGGCCATGGTATATTCAGTATTCTTCGTCATCACAGTAACTGAAAGGCAGTCTTCCATATTCATTGCCCAGCTTTCACATGCATATGAGGCCATTGAAAACACCATGGCTTGGATCAGGTGCCCCTTAGTCCTTAAAGTGACATCTTTGCTTTTTAACACTTTAAAGAGGTCTTTAACAGCAGATTTTCCCAATGCAGTGCATCTCTGATTTCTTGACTGCTTCTTGGCCCTGGTATATTCCTGCTTTTCTATCATTGACCCTCGGTGTTGGGGGGAGGGCAGTTTCAGGCTCAGACCAACAGAGCTGAAACCTCTGCTCCTTTTTCCTGACAGATGAAAGCAGTTGTTAAATATGCCCTGAGCATTGGCTACTGCCACATTGACTGTGCTGCTATGTATGGCAGTGAGACTGAGATCGGGGAGGCCCTGAAGGAGAACGTGGGACCAGGCAAGGTGAGGACTTGGGCTGCAGAGAGGGATGGATGGGAGAGTTCAGAGGCTGGGGCTAGAGGGTGGAGGGAATCCAGTACTAGCTTCTTTCTAGTTCCTTTGCAAGAGGTGAGGTTGGGTGAGACTGGGTGCCCATGGCCTTTCTCACTATGGGCCTTGCCCCCTATACCAGATGGTGCTAAGGGAGGAGCTGTTTGTGACATCTAAACTGTGGAACACTAAACACCAGCCTGAGGATGTGGAACCTGCCCTCCAGAAGACCCTGGCCGACCTCCAGCTGGAGTGTTTGGACCTGTACCTGATGAACTGGCCTTGTGCCTTTGAGTGAGCTGTTGCCAGGGTCTTTATCTGGGGAAGTGGGGGATCTGGGTGGGGTAGTGTTAATAACTTATCCTAAGCCACAGTGGAACAGCAGGATAGGAACGTTCATCTATGCAACAAGCTGCAGAGCTTGCCGTGGGATCTTTGAGCCTTTTCTACTCCTAAAAGAACCCAAACCTGTTGCTGTCAAGTTGATTCTGACTCGTAGCAACCCTACAGGACAGAGTAGAACTGCCCCATAGACTTTCCAAGGAGTGCCTGGTGGATTTGAACTACCTTCCTTTTGGTTAGCAGCCATAGCTCTTAACCACTACACCACCAGGGTTTCCGTTTCTACTATAATAGCCAGGAATTTAGCTACAGAAAAAGGAATGTAGTTTACTGTAGCATGTATCCTGGGGTATGCATGGGTAGTCCCACCTCCTCCCTTTATTCATTCTGGAAATATATACTGACCCTTCCGTAGAGCTAGGTCCTGGGTTGCAGTAACAAATAATCCCCAGCAGAGGGTGTGAGAGGAACCTACCATCAGTACTGTGTCCTGTGCTGGCAGAGCATGTAACTCCCTCAGGAAGAAGGAGCTAAGGAAGACATCTCAGAGGAAAGGAGATACAATCTGGTCTAGGAAGAAAAGAAGGGGGAATGGATATTCCATATAGAGTAAACACCTGAGTCGTGATCTGGAAGGGTGAGAAAGCACAACTGTTTCTCACTCTTGGCCCTTTGGCCTCTTTGGAGTTGGGGCATGGAACATAGAGTAGCTGGATGGGCAGATAGAGCAGGAGCTTGGCATTTATGCCCACACTCAGGGGGTTGTCCCACACTCAGGCAGGGAGACAACCCCTTCCCTAAGAATGCGGATGGGACTATACGCTATGACTCCACCCACTACAAGGAGACCTGGAAGGCTCTAGAGGCACTGGTGGCCAAGGGGCTGGTGCGGGCACTGGGTCTGTCCAACTTCAACAGCCGGCAGATCGATGATGTGCTCAGTGTGGCCTCTGTGCGCCCTGCTGTCCTGCAGGTGAGCAAGGCAAACAGACCAACTGTTTGGGGTTTGTTCACAAGAGCATGAGTGAGCAGGTGATGGGCCTTCTTAATGGAAACGGCTAACAAGATGTCAGAGTGTTGGTGTGCAAGTTCTCAGCCTAAAAGCAGGTGTTGAATCCCTGGGAGAGAGTGAAATCGCCAGTGGCAGACAGAATGAGAAAAGCGGGCTGAGGAAGAGGGGAGCATCTGCAGTGCAGGGTTGGTCAGGACATGCATGTGTGAGTGGGGCTGGATAAGCTGGGTGTGGGCACTTTTGGTAATGAATTGTTTTCTGGCTCAGGTGGAATGCCACCCATACCTGGCTCAGAAAGAGCTAATTGCTCACTGCCATGCACATGGTCTGGAGGTGACTGCTTATAGCCCTCTGGGCTCTTCTGATCATGCTTGGGGGGATCCTGATGAGCCTGTCTTGCTAGAGGATCCAATGGTCCTGGCACAGGTTGAAAAGTATGGCCGGTCTCCAGCTCAGGTCTTGCTCAGGTGCGTGCAGTACTGGGGAAAGGGAGTCTTTGGGGACAAGGGACCCTGGGTTTGGGAGGCAAGGATTGAGGGGTTTCTTACGAGCTTGCAATGTGATCTGTTCTGGTGGGGTTCAGGGGCTCCAGGAGCTCAGAGAAGGCTGCATGGAGGATGAAACAATGCTTAGGAGGACTAACAACTCTTCCTCATCTACCTCAATCCCCTGCCTTTGGTGGCAGGTCCAGCGGAAAGTGGTCTCCATCCCCGAATCCTTCAGAACATCCAGGTATGTGAGTGATGGTCCTGTCTTTAGCCTTTTGGGACACAGTGTGGCCCCCACTCAGCCTGGCTGTAAACGTAGTTCTTTGCAATCCCAGCTTCTACTTACAAGTCTGGCTTTTGTGATCCTCTTCACCCCCCCTTTCGCCCCCAGGTGTTTGACTTCACCTTCAGCCCAGAAGAGACGAAGCAGTTAGATGATCTGAACAAAAATTGGCGATGTACTGTGCCCATGCTTACGGTGAGGATTTATCAGCCCCCAGATTCAGGGAATGTGAGATCCCAGTAAGATGCTGTCCCAGGTCTGGCCTCAGGCTATTGCTCAGGTGAAGGACAGAATGTTAGTGGCAGTAGTGGGAGCATTGATATCTTATAACCTAAAACATAAGCTATTTAACTTCCCTAAGCCTCAGCTTCCTATCTGTAAAATGAACCCAGTTCCTGATACATGGTAAGTTCTAAGTAAATGATATCAGTGAGGGGAACCCAGGAGGCATTCTTGGCCTTTTTAGGGGGTTTTGGGTGGGGTTCAAGTCTGCTGTACACAGGGAAATAAATAGTTCCCTAACACTTAATTTCAGCTGAGACTGTTAGCTGTGTTCTATGGGTTTGGTGCTGTAATGTGTCTGATACTGTGGCATTCTCTGAGGCCAGGGGCCTGATCACTGCCATCTGGCATAGTGACGTAGATAGGTGAGGTTGTTCAGGAAGCTTTGGAGGAAGTACCCTGCATTGTTGAAATGTCAGCTTCTGCTAATGGAGTCATCTGTCCATCTCTCTTTCCAGGTGGATGGGAAGTGGTTCCCAAGAGATGTGGGGCACCCTCTGTACCCTTTTAATGACCCATACTGAGAACACAGCTTTCTGGCATGCCTTCCAGCTCTCCTACTATGAGGTCCTGATATCTTCAGAAAGGGAGTTATTAAAACTACTGGAGGATCCACATTCCTTGCTTGTCTTATGTTTTGATCAGGCCTGGGAAGGAAAGTGTTTCCGTTAGGAATGCTATACCTAGGACTGCTGGGTCTCACCTGCCCTGAAGCCTAAATTTCCTTTTCTTTCCTGGTTCTGGGGGAAGGTACCTACTAGGCAGCTGAATTCCTGGCTGCAGGCCTTCATTAGGTACATTAGAGGAGGAGCGCCATCTAGTGGCAATTCAGAGCACCACATGCTTCCCTGGAGTTGGCTTACGGAGAATGTCAGAAATTGATCACCTCAGAGAACTGAGAACAGAGCAGTGAGTCTCCTGTAGTTTCATGGCAGTGCTGGGCCTGGGTGTTGAGTTTCCTTTCCACTGTTCTGGTCAGTAAGGAGCCCTGCTGGCAGTGGTTAAGTGTTTGGCCGCTAACTGAAAGGTCGGTGGTTCCAACCCACCAGCCACTCCAAGGGGAGAAGATATGTGACAGTCTGCTTCTGTAAAGATTACAGTGTTGGAAGCCCTATGGGGCAGTTCTACTCTGTTCTGTAGGGTCGCTGTGAGTGCACATTGACTTGACAGCAATGGGGAGTTCCGGCCAATGCCTAGGGCTAGAAATGTGAGGAACCCAAATGAGGGTGCCAGCTTGCAAAATCATGAAAGGTGAGGACAGGGGCTTTTTCTCTCAGACGTTGCAATCAGTGTGCATAGGCTACCTGAAGGAGGCAGAGTCAGGCTCAAGGCTTGGTACTCTGCCCCTAGGGTCCTATCTTACTAGCTTTATAGTCCCACCAAAGGCCACTGAATACCAGGTGTTAGAAAGTTTCTGGCAAATCCTTCACACCTCCAGTCACACAAAACTCATTTTTGTTTCCCAGATAAACCGTTGTTCCTCATTCAGCAAATAATGGATTAGACAAAGGCTAAACCCTGGGGATATACCAAAACACGTAAGGTCCCTGCAGTCTACTTGAGGAGACAGACTAAGTAATTGCATAATTAGTTTAATTACATAATTAGTTTAATTACACTTAGAAGTGTTATGAATGTGGGACATAAAATGATACTCATGAAGACTGTGCTTCTTAGCTCAAGTAGATACATGAGATTAAATGGGCAGCTCCTGTCCGGAGGTGACATGAGAAGGCAGAGAGGGTCAGGAGCTGGTTGAATGGACACGGGAAATCATGGGTGGAAGGAGGACTGTGCTGTCACAGTATAGGGAGGGGAATTAGGGTCACATAACAATGTATGTATAAATTTTTGTGTGAGAGTAACTTGAAATGTAAACTTTCACTTAAACTACAATAATAAATAGAAAAAAAGAAGATAGGACTGTGAGATAATTATGAAATAAAAGCATTTTGGTGGTTATGTACTATTCATATCATAAAATCTTCTAAATCACAAAAGTTATTCAATTAAAAAAATGTTATGAAGAAGTGCAGGGCAAGAAGCTGATTGATTTAATCAGCTGGAATCTGAAGGATGAATAGGGATTAATTAAAGGAGTTGAGAGTGAGAATATTGTAACATGTATATTGAACAACTTGGAGGAAAGCCTTGAAACTGGAAGAAGTTTTGGGAAAACCAAAAGAAGGCTTGTGTGACAGAAGCTGAAAGGGGGGGAGGAAGAATGGAATGGAATGATGCTGGAATCAGGCAGGAGCCTCCAAGATTTTGTTTTTTTATCCTGCTTACAATGGGAAGCCATGAAAGCGTTTTCAGCAGTAATAACATTATTTGATTTGTGTCTTAGACATAACCCTGGTGCAGTGAAGAGAATGGGTTAGAGGTGTAACAAGTGGGTGGGAGAGGCATGTTGGAGGCTGTTACAAGAGGTTAGTCTTTTGCCTCTGGGCCTTTACACACAGTGTCCTGCCTGAAACATCTACCCCTTAGCCCACTGTGCTGGCTAACTTAACTACTAAATGTTCAGTTTGGCTGTCACTTCCTCAGGGATATCTTTCTTCACCTCAGCCTCCCTAGGTGGCTCTCTGTTTGATTCCATAACTCCCTCACACTTTATCATGATCCAAGCGTCCATAGTTATGAGGTAAGGAAACCAAAGTTGTCATAACATGAAACTATCCACTAACAAACCAACAACTTAGAAGTTATTCTTGACTCGTTATTCTTGACTCAAACATCTCACCCTGCTTAACATCATATGTCTGTGTCTACATCTTTGTCTAAGCACTGAACAGTGTGGTGCATGTCCACTGCAAAGTAAAATTGCAAATCTCACAAAAGATGTAATATTTTATGAAGCAATGAAAGTGATGTTGGAGAATTTCTCAAATCATACCCAAAACCACTGACAAGCGAAGATTTGACAGTTAACTGAAAGAGAACATCAAAGATAAGGAGACCAGACTTCAAAAGAGGATGACTGGAGTATCATAGTATTAAGGAAGGCCTCTGGAATCACTGGGTAGTACAAACAGTTAATATTCTTGGCTGCTACCTGGAAGGTTGGAGGTTTGAGTTCACCCTGAGGCTCCTCAGAAAAATGGCCTGGCAATCTACATCTGAAAAAATCAGCCATTGAAAATCCTATGGAGCACAGTTCTACTCTGACACACATGGGGTCGCCATTAGTCAGAATCAAATGACAGCAACTGTTTTTGTTTTGCTTTTTTGAAGGAAGGCATTTGGGAAAATTATGGTCTGAAGTACTTTTGCAAAAATGGTTCTTTTTATGATTCTTGTTTCCAGTAAAAGACTACAGACTCTGAATTTTCAAGTGAGACTGCCTTTGTAAGACTGCATTGCAGGAAGGGAGGGAGTGCTGACCAGTCAGAGGTTAGCACCACCACGTCCCAGCTCCTTACATCAAAATTCTTCATATGTAAGTACAGTCTAAGACACCTTTCAGAAGTTGCCTTGCCTGCGTGGAGGAGGAGCTGTCTCATACTTGTGTAGGGAAAATAAGACCCTGTGACATTCTGTGGGTAGCTACTTGAGAGAGGGGAGAGATACCATATCTGAAAGAGGACACACTATTTGTCCAGGAAAATATAATCTATGAAGTTCTCGTATTTGTCCAAGGCATGAAAACATTGAAAATCCCTTTATTGGTTGAGATTTTAACTTTTAGAGTATACATGACATGTTCTGTTTCTATGAGAGGTTGCTGTCCTCTTTATATTCTTTGTGGATCATCCACACTTTGACACCTGTATGTTCATGAAACTATAAATGTACCCAATCAGGGTTTTACTCTTGGTTTTGTTCCTCTACTGGTTGGTGGGCCTTTGGTCTCTCAAAATATGATTAGGTTGTTTTATACAACATGACAAGCAAGCCCTACCTAGCATAATAAATACATGGAGACCACATACTGTTACCAGGATAATTAATCTTTAATAACTTTTTAATTACATTCCACCTCACTCCCTTACATTGATCAAAGGGTTGTTCCTTTCTCAAAGGAGAACAGGACTATTCCTTTAATTTTAGGGATCTCTCTTTTCTATTAACAGGTTGTGTTAATAAGAGCTCAAGAGCCATTTGATTCTGCCATGAGTGAAATGAGATGACACCTCCATTTGTAGAGACCCATGGTGTCACTTTTTGCATTAAAGCCCTACTCTGATATTCCAGAGAGATTACAATGGCCCTTTCTGCAACCGTCTGTCAGGCAGCATAGGTGACATTTCTAAAGAATATTGCCTCTTGTGGCCTTGTAGCCCAAGGGTGGTTATAGCCAACACTCAGATTTAGGAAGATGCTTAGGTCTGGTGTACATCAAGTATCAAAAAACCCAAAAAGGAAAAGCACTATTTTTCTTCACGATCATAGGAAAAAAATCACGTGAGGGAGAGAGACTATATGAGACAGGAAGGACTTTCCTGATAAATAGCAAAGTATAATAGTAAAGCGTGGTAAAGACTTCAGAATCGTACAGTCTGTAGAGCCTTGGTGGTTTCCTTTCATAACACAAGTCCTGAGGTGCTTTGTCTTGAGTCTCCATGAACTTCTTTCAGACGTCCTTATACCTCTTATTTTTTTCCTTATAGAAGATTGTACGAAACCTCAGGAGAAACTTAAACAGTAGTGGTGATAATTGGCAAGGTAATCTTGTTCTTAATCTTAAAGGGAAGTTTCTCCATTTGGGGGCTTGATAATTCTTTGTCATGGGGGGCTGTCCTGTGCATAATAGGCTGTTTAGCAATATCCTAGTCGCTGCCCATTAGATACCATTCGCACATTCCCCCCAGCCAGTTGAGACAACCAGAAGTGTCTCCAGACATTGCCACATGTCCCTTGCATGACAAAGTTGCCCCCCCATTGGGAACAACTGAGCTAGAGAAAGTCAAAGAAATGGCTTGAGTAGTCTCAACCCATCTAACCTTCTCGCTCATTTATCCTTGCTGGTAGGGCCTTCTCTTCTTGGAAGCAGGAATTAAAAACAAAAAACCTTTACTTCTAGATCTCTGTCTTGGCCAAAGCTTCCCAGAAAAGAGAGCCTTGCTTTCGTGAAACACTGCAGTTAGAATGTAAGAGCAATGATGTCAGCACTAAAAAGTTTCACACCCACTGTAATGCCTCTTGGGCTTGTTTTACTGAGGACCATTCTGCCTCTGACAGACTTAAGAGGAAGGGAGACAAAAGACTAAAGGCTCTGTGAAAACATACAGATGGAAAAGAAAAGCTTTACCCCTGGACAGGAGGGCTTCACTTTGACTCATCCTAGTTCCAGCCACACCTCTAACCACAAGCTGGGATCCCACCTTTCATGGAGCCCATAGTCATGTTCCCTTGCCTCTGCAGACTGCCATTTTACAACTAGATGCATCTCCACGTTCTGTCCCTTCAGCTTCCCCTCCAGAGAAACATCAGGGCTGACAGGTGGACCCTAGTTTGAGAACTCTAAGACCAGAGTGGTATAGGAGCAGAGCCATCCCATATAGTTGAACAGTTTGGGCACCGGACCAAGAAGGCTGGTGGAGGTCTGATAACCTGCCCATGCCCTGCTCATCATGTCTGGTTCAACGAGCCAAGAGAAAGGCTGGCCCTTTCTAATTCTGAGTGACACAGAGTAAAAAGCTGCACATCTGAAACCGGAAGACTAATTTCGTCCAAATCTTTTCCTTCAACTTAAACATCCCCATTTCCCCCAGTGACTTCCAAATCCTTTGTTAAAATCTCCCCTTGGCATTTAGCATAAAGTTCAACTTCTTCCTTAGCTTGGCACACAAGGCCCTCCACCATCTGACTCTTTGTCCTCTCTCACACACACTTTATGCTGTTCTTGCCACAAAGTACAATTTGCAGTCCCCTGAGTGTATAGTGATATTGAAGATCTCTGTTCTCTCCCATATCCTGTTTACTGACTCTTCTTTATCTAACTCCTGCTTGTCTCTCAAAACTGGACTCAAGTGTCATCAATTCTGGGAGACCTTTCCTGACAACTCCCCATTCCCAGACTGAGTTTTGGTGCCCTTCTTCTGTATTTCCACCATTCCCTGTGCGTATTCCTATCACAGAGAGCACTTATCTCATCATTCTGTAATTATTGATTACCTCTCTTTCTGTTCCCCGAAAGACAGTGATCTTAGTGAGTCAAGGTAATGGTGGTAAGCACCTCAGAGCACTGAAGAGAAAACAGAATAGGAACCACTGGACTGTCCACTCGTTGAGGACAGGGCCACATCTTCACCTCTGCATCCCCAACATCCAGCACTTGGCCTGTAAGCAGTTGGTGCTCAGTCAGTGTGGAAATAATGCATGAAAGAATGCCTTGAGCAGAAAACGATTGCTCTCAGATGGTTAGTCACACATGTGGTGATCTTATTTTTGAGTATCATAAGCATGCAAAAGGCACTAAGTTGGAGCCAGAAGACTGATAGAATCCTGCCCTCACTCCATTCACCTGTATCTCTCACAGGTGTCCAAGTCCCTTCTTCATGCCAGGTGCACGGAAAGTGCTGTACAGGTATTTGCTGAATTAATCAATGTCTCAACTTTCCTACTTTCAAGGACTGAGGTTCCTGCTTCCTTCCACCACAGGCTAGCAAGAAGAATGTAAAATAAAAAGAAAGCAGCCATCTCAAGTATTTAGTGCTGCTGTCTGATTTCCCTAGGGGCAGACAGCTTTGTGAGTCAACTTCAACTAAAACTGAGCCAACCACAGCCATCCTGGTCTGGATGGTGGCCCAAACTGCTGACAGGAGGAAGCTTTTCTTAAATGGAACTAACCTGGGCCTGAGAATCCTGCTGTGACTTCTATCCTCTTCCATTTCGGAAAAAAAAATTGCAGGCATTTAGTACATGTGTAGTAATTTGGGTCTGTACTATCTTAGATGGGACAAACCAATGTGGGGATTTTCACCGAAGAAGTGGTTTTGATTAGTAAATGTTAAAAAACTGGATTTGCTCCTTCAGTCCCAAGAGAGTTTCCAGGAGGGGCGTGGCCAGGGAATTCCAGAGCTCTAATTAGCTACTACCCCTATGTGTCTGTTAGTTTGTCATACTGTAGGGGCTTGAGTATTGCTGTGATGCTGGAAGATAGACCACCGGTATTCAGACACCAGCAGGATCACCCGTGGCAGACAGGTTTCAGCCGAGCTTCCAAACTAAGACAGACTAGGAAGAAGGACCTGGCAGTCTACTTCCGAAAAGAATTGGCCAGTGAAAAGCTTATGAATAGCGGCGGAACATCGTCTGATATAGTGCTGGAGGATGAGCCCCCCAGGTTGGAAGGCACTCCAAATATGACTGGGAAAGAGCTGCCTCCTCAAAGTGGAGTCAACCTTAATGACGTGGGTGGAGTCAAGCTTTCGGGACCTTCATTTGCTGATGTGGCACAACTCAAAATGAGAAGAAACAGTGGCAAACATCCATGAATAATTGGAACATGGAATGTACGAAGTATGAATCTAGGAAAATTGGAAATCATAAAAAATGAAATAGAACGCATAAACATCGATATCCTAGCCATTAGTGAGCTGAAGTGGACTGGTATTGGCCATTTTGAATTGGACAATCATATGCTCTATTATGGCAGGAATGACAACTTGAAGAGGAATGGTGTTGCATTCATAGTCAAAAAGAACATTTTAAGATCTATCCTAAAGTACAGCGCTATCAGTGATAGAATAATATCCATATGCCTACAAGGAAGGCCAGTTAATACGACTATTATTCAAATTTATGCACCAACCACAAAGGCCAAAGATGAGGAAATTGAAGATTTTTACCAGCTTCTGAAGTCTGAAATTGATCAAAAATGTAATCAGGATGCATTGATAATTACTGGTGATTGGAATGCAAAAGTAGGAAACGAAGAAGAATCGGTAGCTAGAAAATATGGCCTAGGTGATAGAAATGATGCTGGAGATTGCATGATAGCATTTTTCAAGACCAACGACTTCTTCATTGCAAATACCTTTTTTCAACAACATTAATGTAGACTATAAACATGGACCTCACTAGATGGAATACACAGGAATCAAATCAACTACATCTGTGGAAAGAGACGAAGGAAAAGCTCAATATCATCAGTCAGATCAAGGCCAGGGGCCAACTGTGGAACAGACTATCAATTGCTCATATGCAAGTTCAAGCTGAAGTTGAAGAAAATTAGAACAAGTCCACAAGAGCCAAAGGATGACCTGAGTATATTCCACCTGAATTTAGAGACCATCTCAAGAATAGATTCGCAATACCATTTACAATAGCCTATAAGAAGATAAAATACATAGGAATAAATCTAACCAGAGATGTAAAAGGCCTATACAATGAAAACTACAAAACACTACTGCAAGAAACCAAAAGAGACCTGCATAAGTGGAAAAACATACGTTGCTCATGGATAGGAAGACTCAACATTGTGAAAATGTCAATTCTACCCAAAGTGATCTACAGATACAGTGCAATCCCGATCCAAATTCCACTGGCATTTTTTAATGAGATGGAGAAACAAAGCACCAACTTCATGTGGAAAGGGAAGAGGCCCTGGATAAGTAAAGCATTACTCAAGTAGAAGAACAAAGTGGGAGGCCTCACACTACCTGATTTTAGAACCTATTACACTACCACGGTGGTCAAAACAGCCTGGTACTCGTACAACAACAGATACATAGACCAATGGAACAGAACTGAGAATCCAGACATAAATTCATCCACCTATGAGCAGCTGATATTTGACAAAGGCCCAAAGTCCATTAATTGGGGAAAAGACAGTCTCTTT